CTTAGAGGCGCCTTTACTACTACTACTACTACTACTACTACTACTACTACTACTACTACTACTACTACTACTACTACTACTACTACTACTACTACTACTACTACTCAATACTTATACTACTTATACTACTACTATTACTATTACTACTACTACTTATACTACTCATACTTATACTACTACTACTTATACTACCTCTACTACTACTTATACTACTACTACTTATACTACTACTACTACTACTAATACTACTATTACTACTCATACTTATACTACTACTACTTATACTACTACTACTACTACTACTACTCATACTTATACTACTACTACTACTCATACTTATACTACTACTACTACTACTACTACTAATACTACTACTACTACTACTATTACTACTACTACTACTACTTCTCATACTTATACTACTCATAATTATACTACTACTAATACTACTACTAATACTAGTATACTACTACTACTACTACTAATAATAATACTAGTATACTACTACTTGTTTTACACATTTTTTGGAGATACCTTTCAGGGCAACCAAGGACACCTTACAAGAAATACTCTAACAGGTAAAAATAGCAGAACATAAGAGGGTAAAATTAAAAGAGCATTTATTTGTATATTTAGCATTTTTGCTCGGAAACAGTAAAGCACTCCTGCTGAAAGTGACGCGTAGAATCCGGATTTTAAGAGAGATACTTCAGCGTTTCTCCAGGGGTCTTGATAAAAAATATGACACAACATTCGTGTTTGTGTGCTTCACACCAGGTGCGCTTCATGCCAAACTAAGCACAGGATTTCCATTTCGACAGACTTCTCTTTTAATTAGAAAGCTTCTTCCCACTCTTCTGCTGGAGGAGTGTTGAGAATGCATCGTCTCAGAGCTTTTCACAACAGAATAAGGCTGACAGAATAATTACCCGGCATTGTAATTACACAGTGAAGCGCCACAGGGATTGTCTCTGATTCCTGGTGTAAATTGGGGTCTTCGTCACACCTCTTATCTGCGACTGATTTCTTTTGTGGTTTCTGATGATTTGAAGTCACTGCAGTTCTTTATCCGTTAATCAGGGAAACATAGCTTGAGTGCAGGAGTGTGTATTTATATCTGTGTGTGAGGGAAGAGGAAGCTGGATATGTAATTGACTTCTGCTCTTATCTCTCGCTGTCCTCTTTCCTCATGCAACAACGTACCTCTAATTTCTCAGATAATTTCTCTTCAGCTTTACTACTGGCATTACAAGACCATCTTAAAGCATCTAAGAGCGGGAAAGTAAGACATTCAGAAGCTGAACGCACACAATATCATCCTCTGAGGGTTTTTAGTATCTTTATTGGGATGAATGGACCATTACCATTTCTTTATCCCACATATTTAATAATCCAACCCTTATAATTACGTTCTACTACTTCTATTTGCTTTGATTCAATGATTCAAATGACGTTCGGCATGATTCTTAAATGTTAAGCATCCTTGCATTGGACAAACACTTAGGAGGAAGTGAGGGTGCCTTTAGCCTTTATGGTAAAATGTTCTTAAGAGACAAAAAAACATTGGTGAATCGCCAAATAAAAGGAAATTTGTTCTTACATCACTTCCTGCTCGAGGACTATTGTGTAGTTGGTGTCTTTACAACTTAGACTATCAATCTGTTTTTATTTTTACATCCTAATTTGACAAATTACACATGTCTCAGGTGGGCTTTACAGCATACAACACTCCCCAAGAAACCCCACAATTATCGCAGAGAAATGTTATCATTTTGTGAGAAAGCGACTTGAGGAGGAATCCCTTTCCCAGGACGGACAGACGTGCAATAGATAATAATAATAACTTAGATTTATATAGCTCCTTTCAGGGGACCCAAGGTCGCTTTACAGAAAGACAGGAGTAAAACAAAAAACAGACAGACAAACAGTCAGACAAAAGATGTTGTGTGTATGGCTGTAAATAAAACGTGTATTAAAAAAAATTGATTCAGGAGGATGGACAGATGTGCAATAGATGTTGTGTGTTTGGATGTATAAAAAAGATAATACAATTACAGCACAGACAATCCAAATGAAGAAACCTGTGTATAAAACCGATGGATTGAGGAGGATGCATGTGTTACCTGGGCAGGGGCTGATGTTGCACTCCTGGTACTCCTGCAGCGCCCCCAGGCAGGTCTGACCTCCATGTTTGGGCTCTGGGTTTGAGCAGGTCCTCTTCCGGCTGCGGATCCCCCGGCTGCAGTCTCTGCTGCACTGAGACCACGAGCTCCAGGACGCCCAGCCCCCGTTCAGCGTGTGGCCCGAGATCCTCCCGAGACGAAGAACCTCTCCTGTGGGAAAAGAGAGGGAACGACTCGAGTCAAAACTACTTATTTCTCAGCATTGAGACGCTGCTTTTTTTGGACACAGAAGAACATGAACTCCCCACAAACACTCAGACACTCAATTCCAGCAACCTTTTTACGCTGCTATGGACAGTCTTGCACTAATGTACATTCCCAAAGATATTGAAGTGACTGTTATTTTTTATATATTGATTGTTGTGTTTTTATCTTAATGTGTGCATATGTATACATGTGTCTCTGTTGATTGTGTATATAGGATTTATACATATTTTATACGTATTTTTGTATTCGGGATTGTGGGAATCGGTATTTTGATCTCTCTGTCTGTACACACAAACTGAAAGATTGACGTTGACTTTTGATTTGTTCTTACATCACTTCCTGCATGAGGACAATTGTGTCGTTTGTGTTTCTTTACAACTTAAAAAAATCAGTTTTTCATTATAGAGCCTAATTTGACAAATTACACATTTGTCTCAGGGGGCTTTACAGTGTGTACTGTACTGTCTTGAAAACTCCCCAAGAAACCCCACAATAATCGGGGAAATTGTTATAATTTTGAGAGAAAGCAACTGAGGAGGAATCCCTTGTAATACGTAACACAGTAACGTGCAATAGATGTTGTGTGTACGGATGTTTTTTATGTAACTAATAAAAAAGATGGATTCATTCTCACGGTGTCAGAAAGTGGAAACACAGGGAACATTTGTCTTGAAGAGCAGGAGGAGGCTGCAGAGGATCTTGATAAAAGCTCCTCTGAAGCTCAGAGTCCCAAAAAGCTTCAACTTGATTTGTACAAAAAGAGCAGAGCATGTTTTGTGCTGTAAAACAATTCAACAGACTTAATTAAAAATCATCTGGTGGAACACCGTGTACAGTGTAGAGGAGTGTTTCATATATCACATCTCAAATGATACCGATGTCTCAGGCACATACAAACACAAAGGAATATCAATTAGCAAAGATAGTTACACCACTTCTAACCAGACTGAATTGTATTAATATAAAGTAGTGGATGGATTGTCTTGACTTTGGCACATACAGTATTGGTGTTGCAAGGGAGAAGCCAAATGACTTATCCTCTAAATGTACACCTTGGTACAGACATAATGGTCTCAAAGCTATTTTCTTTACAATAGGTTTTTGGTAAGATACCTGAAATAGGATCTGTGGTTAATACAAGCTTAATAGATTTATACATTCTGGTCTTTGACATCAAATAGGTCAATAAATACCCATTAGTGGTTTTTAAAGACTTTACATATGAGTCTAAACGAGACGACTAAACGTCTTAACGCTGAACAGTAGCCCCCTTTAGCTTAGCGGTGGTGACGTGAAGTCATGTGACCGTGCTGTAGTTCCTTTATAGCCCAACATTAGCCGCCTTTAGCTTAGCGGTGGTGAGGTGAAGTCATGTGACCGTGCTGTAGTTCCTTTAAAGCCCAACATTAGCCGCCTTTAGCTTAGCGGTGGTGACGTGAAGTCATGTGACCGTGCTGTAGTTCCTTTATAGCCCAACATTAGCCACCTTTAGCTTAGTGGTGGTGACTGAAGTCATGTGACCGTGCTGTAGTTCCTTTATAGCCCATCATTAGCCGCCTTTAGCTTAGCGGTGGTGACGTGAAGTCATGTGACCGTGCTGTAGTTCCTTTATAGCCCAACATTAGCCGCCTTTAGCTTAGTGGTGGTGACTGAAGTCATGTGACCGTGCTGTAGTTCCTTTATAGCCCATCATTAGCCGCCTTTAGCTTAGTGGTGGTGACTGAAGTCATGTGACCGTGCTGTAGTTCCTTTATAGCCCATCATTAGCCGCCTTTAGCTTAGTGGTGGTGACTGAAGTCATGTGACCGTGCTGTAGTTCCTTTATAGCCCAACATTAGCCGCCTTTAGCTTAGTGGTGGTGACTGAAGTCATGTGACCGTGCTGTAGTTCCTTTATAGCCCATCATTAGCCGCCTTTAGCTTAGTGGTGGTGACGTGAAGTCATGTGACCGTGCTGTAGTTCCTTTATAGCCCAACATTAGCCGCCTTTAGCTTAGTGGTGGTGACTGAAGTCATGTGACCGTGCTGTAGTTCCTTTATAGCCCAACATTAGCCGCCTTTAGCTTAGCGGTGGTGACGTGAAGTCATGTGACCGCGCTGTAGTTCCTTAATAGCCCAACATTAGCCGCCTTTAGCTTAGCGGTGGAGACGTGAAGTCATGTGACCGTGCTGTAGTTCCTTTATAGCCTTTAACTTCTGGAGTTTGTATTAACAATAAAAAATGATACGAAAAAGGGGGATGGATTATCTTGCCAAACAAACCATGTAAGCATCATAAACTTCTATTTGCCATGAGTCAAATGTCTTAGTTTTTGTTGCAGGAACCAGGGGTTTGCTAACTTCTAGATTGGTTTCAAACATACGTCACCTCTGCAGCACTTTAAGGAGAATACAAATAAACCCAGTACAAAGGCAGGCAGACAGATGCCACAGTGAGGGTGTCAGGAATGAGCGTACAGATGTAATCCATCATTCACTTCTCCACAGTCTGTAAAGATGGAGCTGAGTGTGTCCTGTCAACACGTGCTCACTCCCCTCATCAAACAACATCAGCTCACTAATCTGTGTACACTCATCCGGAGTGAGTGGAATAGAGGATTCCTAATGAAATATGAAACCGCCATTTCTACTAAACTATAATTACTGAATGCATTCATCAGCGCCGTGGAAATGAGCAGATGAGCGCAGAGAGAAAGCCTGGGGCATTTGTGAATGAGAGAAATCATCTGTTTGAGGGAATGATAATCACCTCCATTGAAATCACACTGTCCGAGCGCTTCTGATGGTTCACAGAATGGACTGTTCGACTTAGAGAGCAGTGGGTCCTCTGCTTAACGTCATTATGCACTTGTTGAAACAGATTATGTGTCTGATGCTATTTCCTTAAATTTCTTTCATTCTAAAATAGACCAACTCCTACAGAAAACCATATTTTCTCCGTCTTCTGATTCTCATCCATTATGTTCACACCATTTATTTAATCCCTCCCTTGCTCTCTGTCTATCTTTCACATTACACCCCCCCCCCCCTCTGTCTTTTTCTGTCTCCCCCTCTGTACCCTCTGGCTTCGTTGTTTTGTCAGCCTGTTTTTTTTCCCGCTGACAGTTAGCGTGGCACAGCTGCTTTGTATTCTCGGGGAGAGGACAGTGTGTTTATCTAACCCAAATCATCGACCTCTTCATAACTACGGCCGACCTTGGTGCCGCTCTTTATGGATTCTGAGCAGGCAGCGGCACGGACAGCCCCTCTAACACTGTGACCTGCAGACTTTATGAAGCCCCCTGTGGACCGAGAGACTGCTGCTCTGCTCTCACAGTACGGTGTCTTAAAATCATCCCTCATGTGTGCTAACACTGACTAAATGTACTTCGATTAAATGTATTATGTCGACAGATTTCACGTTGCTGTATTAGGTTAGTTGAAAGCAATACGTTAAAGTATGTTTTGAATATGAGGTTCAACTTAATGTATGAACTTACCTAAATACAGTTATGTGAAATGTTGACATAATACATTTAAAGTCAACGTTTCAGTGTATATGCAAAGGCTTACTTAAACTATATTGCACACAAAGAGTGGTTGAAAGTACAACTACTACTAACACATCTGCACTTTCATACAAGGTACTGAGTGTACTACAAACCTCTTTTACTGATGACTGAATACTGTGATAATTTACATATTTGTTTACTGTATATTTCAATTCCTCTACATTTCGGCAGCAGATATTATACTTTTTTACTACAGTACACTGCCTTGTTTTGACGACATGAGATAATTAGCACACAAATACATATTGTATATCTGATATGTGCCACACTGCATGAAGCATCCTTTGACTTTTTGTACTTTAAGTAGATGGATGGATGGATGGATGGATGGATAGATGGATGGATGGATGGATGGATGGATGGATAGATAGATGGATGGATGGATGGATAGATGGATGGATGGATGGATGGATGGATGGATAGAGAGATGGATGGATGGATGGATGGATGGATAGATGGATGGATGGACGGATGGATAGAGAGATGGATGGATGGATGGATGGATGGATAGATAGAGAGATGGATGGATGGATGGATAGAGAGATGGATGGATGGATGGATGGATAGAGAGATGGATGGATGGATGGATGGATGGATGGATGGATGGATGGATGGATGGATGGATGGATGGATAGATAGATGGATGATGGATGGATGGATGGATAGAGGATGGATGGATGGATGGATGGATAGAGAGATGGATGGATGGATGGATGGATGGATAGATGGATGGATGGACGGATGGATAGAGAGATGGATGGATGGATGGATGGATGGATAGATAGAGAGATGGATGGATGGATGGATGGATGGATAGATGGATGGATGGATGGATGGATGGATAGAGAGATGGATGGATGGATGGATGGATAGAGAGATGGATGGATGGATGGATAGAGAGATGGATGGATGGACGGATGGATAGAGAGATGGATGGATGGATGGATGGATGGATGGATAGATAGAGAGATGGATGGATGGATGGATGGATGGATGGATGGTTAGGTAGGTAGGTAGAGAGAGAGAGAGATAGATATATAGATAGAGATGGATGGATGGATGGTTAGGTAGGTAGAGAGAGAGATAGATAGAGAGAGAGAGAGAGAGATGGATGGGTAGGTAGGTAGGTAGGTAGAGAGAGAGAGAGAGAGAGACACTAGAATGAAGACACTAGAAATAAACAGTCCAAAATATTCTGAAATAGATATAAAATAGCAAGTATATTTTGATGCAAAGCATTTTCAAACTGTGAGGTTGCAACTAGAATATCTGAATACCTCTTCACACACAGTGTTTTGCTGGAACTCCTGAAACGGCTCTGTGTGCTGTGAGTATTGCTAATGCTACTTCACAGGGACTGGCCTCCCGTCGCCTAAACAAACAGCGAGAGACC